ACACCACTAGTTTTATTTAGCAGTAAAAAGTAATATAAGGAAAGCAGCACAGTATTTTACAATGCCCTTCAGCACCTAGAGCCCAGACATCCCACAACTAGTTAAGCTTTCACAAAAAAATAAAAAAGATATAAACATGAACACACTGACAGAATATATGAAGAGATACATATGCATGTAAATGCACACACACACACATACAATCTCACAAAGTCGTATTAAAACCATCAGCATGTGCCTAAAGAATCCTCTGTTTTTAATGTACAGTACTATAAATAGCTTTGGGTTTCTAAGATTTGGATAAAATGAAACCACTTTCATCTGATCAAATTCACCAGAAGGCAATTCTATCAATAGAGGCCTGAATTTTAAAAATCTCTACAGTATAAATACTTTTGTTATATATGCTCAAATATTTTACCATAATCCTAAAATCAGAGGATAATAGATTTTTTGTAGCTTGAAATCAAAGTCCTATTTTGACTTTTATTCAGAGAAAATAGATCAATTCCTTCTCCAACAGAAACATGGTATTTCATGACTGAAAAGTAGTAATTGATTCACTACTTAAAGCCAACCCAAATTAGAATTAAAGAATAAACCAATGCCTCTAATTCTATAGTATTTCAAATCCATTTTGCAGAACAAATAAAGGAATAAATATTTGAGCCCAAACTGAAGTTCCTATTTTACTTATTAGCACTCAGCTCCTCTTTCCAGGTCAGTGAGTGAGGCTAAATAGTTACTCTGTTGCCCAGACTGAGAGAAGCTCTGTCTCAAGGGATAAACGACCTCATGGGCCTGGAGAAGTGTTAACTATCATCAGCACAAACTGTACTACTTGAGCAAGAAAAATTAAGTCCAACTAAAGGTACCACAATAACAAAGAAAGTAACTTTGGTTTCAGGAATTGCAAAGATCATTACAGGAAGTTGTATTAATGCTGACAAGTTCAAGTGTTTATAGAAACTAGGAAGCCCTGGAGTGTCCCTCCCAGGCACATACTTTCCTGCCCTATAGAACCAGTTCTAGGAATGTTGCTTATATTTCTTAATAACTAACTGGATATTAAACATCCAAAAAAAATTAACTGGCAGTGATTCCTGGTCATTTTGTTACTTTTGCTCCACATCTCCAGTTGTATCATTTCCCAGCCAACCCCCCACTCCCAACTCCAGTCTTCTAAGTGACCAAATTCCCCAAACACAGCCACACATGTTTTTCCAAAGAGAGGGTCTCTCATTTGTACAGTGGCAGGCCATAGTCAATGTACAGTCAAAGCTCAGTATCACAAATATATAAACCAGTACTAAAAGAGACCGCTTCTGAGGCTGTATTATTCTGTGAGCAACTTTACAAAAATTAGGAAGGTACCTTAAAAGCTATCACAGCAATGTAAATCTTAGATTTTTCTTTTTCTACAGTAAACTATTTAGTTTACCCATAATGAAACTAACCAGAAAAGGAAATGTTTGCCTTTGGGAACTTGGAAAAGAAAACATTCATGTTTGCACCCGAAGTTATTACTAACAAATGAATGGCTGGTTAAAAACCTAAGCTGTGATACCACTGCCCTAGCCCCTGTGCCCCAAGACTGATTACAAGGCAGTTGTTCGTCCTAAGCAAGAAAAACCACAAAAAGGCTTAAGAACTGTTCCTGTTTGGTTTTTTATTTTTTATTTTTTTGCATTTCACTTTGCATACTAAGTTTAATAATCATTACTCAAAACAAAACAAAAAAAAAAGACAAATTTCATTTTTCTACTAACTCTTCCCTTTTCCCCTGATGGTTTACTTTTTCTATCCAAGATTCAAGAATATACACTGGCAAACATAAAAAGAAAATTATGACTCTGTAAGACAATGACTTCTCATCTCCTAGAAAATTGACAAGCTAGCATCCAGAAATGATTCCTATTTCCCAGAAGACACTTCATGTGGGATGTCTCCTTTTTTCCAGAAGAACTTATAATTCAGAATGTCTAAAAAAATGAGGAAATAAAATAAGTGTCAGGCTTATGCTAGCAAGAGAGAAAAAGATGAACTAGGCATACCAACGGAGCTTCTACTTAAGTAGGAGAACCAAACACAAGTGCAAACAAGTGGAGCACAGGCGAACAAAGGAGAGCACAGGGAGAAATGCTCCAGCCAGGAGGGCTGGAGAAATCTCTGATCCTAAAGCACTGTCCCTCAGGGTGGCCAAGAAGCAAATTCATCCAAATCATCCATGACTGTCTGCCACAAATACACATCACTGGGTCCCATCCCAGATTCCTGAATCAGATCCTCTTGCGATGGGAGTCTAGAACTCTGTTTTTGTTTCATTTCATTTTTTATTAAACAAGCATTCCAGTGAATCTAATACAAGGGGTCCATGGACCATGTTTGGTCACACTGAAATACTACCATTTTTCTAAGTTAAGGGTAAGACCTACTGCATAGATACAGTAATGAAAAACCCTGACAGAAAGACCTTATAAAGACAGCCACCACGGAAGCAGACAATCAAGGTATGTGGAAACTGATGAATACACTGACTCTAAGAGACTGAATGAACTCTGTTCTGGAAGTAATGGAGAATGAGTATAGCTTTTTGAACAAACTCATGCTGTGTTTGAATAAGATTATCTGGGAGTCCAAGTAAGAGGTACTAAGACATTAATGGAAAGGGGGAAAGGAGGCAATGGATGCAAGAGATTTTTCAAGGATGGAAAAGACGGGACTTGGAATTTGATGTGTGTAGAGAAGAAAAGGAATTGAAGAGGATCATGAGAAAAATTTTAAATGAGCCAGGTGCCTTCTCAGTGTCTAACACCGTGTCAAGCACCACACAGCATCCACAAGCACAAGAATCATTAATTCGATGTAGTAACTCAACCCTTCCAATATATGACAGGCGCCATTAACACCACCAAGGATACACACAGGAAAAAAATTCCTGTCCCCCAGGGGTTTAAAATTACATCTCTCCCTGTTCCTCTTTTATTTTGCCCCTACTTTTTATGAGGCAAAAAGTATTTCTGGAACCTGTCTCTCCTTGTGCTCAAGACCTTTGCTGCTAAAGCATTAACTGGGTCAAGTCAAAAACATGTAGGTCCTCATCCTGAGTGGTTTTAGCTGTTTGTTCTTAATGGCAAATACTTAGGAATGCTTTCTTGACTACGATGACATGATAGTCTTTTTTTTTTTTTAATTTTATTTTTTTAAGAGAGAGCATGTGTGCATGAACAGGGAGGTAGGGGAGGCAGAGGGAGAAGGAGGCTCCCTGCTAGCCCCATGTGGGGCTGGATCTCAAGCTGAAGGTAGATGCTTAACCAATTGAACCATGCAGGCGCCCCAACAGGACAGTCTTGATACAAAACTATTAAGATGTAAATATCCAAATTCAAGTGTAAGTGCGGCCCAACTTTAGATAAATGGACTTAAAAAACTTTCCTACAGAAACTTTTAGAGTACAGCTATTTATTCATCCAATCAATATGAACTGTATGCTTTTACAGATGGATGGTTCTCCCCTGACCTGGAAGAATGAATAACATCCTGAGAAACCTTAGAGTGCAAAGTGTGATCAATGAATTAAAAAGAATAAACAGCACTTAAAAACAGGAGGGAGGGTGACAACAGGTGAGAAGCAGCAGTATGTGTAGGAACTATCAGTTATAAGAAATACTGACCAAAGGACAAAAATCAACCACAAGCCTGAGAACTGGACAGAGGTCACTTGTCAAGTTAAATTCGTAATTGTCAATATACGATGAATGCTGCCAGTGACTTGATTTTAATAATAACATGAGTCTTTGATTAATGGACAAATTATTTGACAAGATACACACATCAAAGAGGAGAACTATACAAGACAGTAGGTGATCAAGTGCTACATTTATATGGTGTCTGCGAGAGCCATAATTCAAAGAAAGTTAAGATTTAAAATCAGTTCTATAAAATGCTGTCATGAACATGTTTCTAGAACTTTTTAGTAGCCAAGGCTGCTCTGAGTACAAACTGTAATAGCAAAGACTGCTGGCTGTGTATCATTTTGTAGCCACACCCATAAATGTGTATCACTTTAATGCCAGTGACATCACTAAACAACTTTCTAAGCAGTTTTACTTTTAACTGTCACTTTTTCAGGATCATATTACAGTAAAACACTTCAAATCTGAACTACCTCCAAATTGCATACAGTCTAGATTGTTATCATTCCTGGGATCTTTCTGGTCTTCGGCAAATAAAACCCAGAACACAATCAAAGCATTCACAATTAAACTGCAAAACGCTTGATTAAAAAAAATCAATTTCAATAATTATTTGTATCTTTACTATCAGTAATTATTGTATCAATAGTTATTTGTATCTTTAAACTAGATCAGATCTTTTCTTTTCCACCCTACCTACAGTGCTTTGTAACAGCTATAAAGCTTTACCGTAGTCTAAGATTATGCTTTTAACGAAGAAACATTTTGTAATATGTGCTGAGAAACCTTAGAGAAATACACAGTATGCAAATATATAAAGTACAATGACTTAAATGTTATCAAGGGCTTCAAACTCTTTATAAATTAATCTGTATCATAAAATGAGTACCTCAAAAGACCATATAAAAGACACACTTGAACAACTAGGTGTAGTTACCGGGCTCTCAGCCTGAGAGTAGAAGATGAATTTTTTAAAAGGATGAATATCACTGCTGCAATTGGGAGGAGATTATTTTCAAAACTAGAATAAAATTAGGAGAAAATGTCTAACAAAATCACTATCCTCTTCCTTACAAAAAGGAAAAATGACCAGTTAAACATAACTGCTTCACCAAATCTATGGGGTTTACCTTATTTTTATCTTGCCTCAGTAAAAACTCCTCTATATTCCAATCCAAATTTCTGAGACTAGAATTCTGGAGACATTTTAATGTGGAAGTCAGTGAAAAAAGTTATGTTAGAATCAGCTTCTGGTACATGTCATTAAAATAAAATGACAACAATGTAAAAGAACAGATCTCTTACCAGTTGAAATTCTCGACGCCGGTCATAGGCATTCTGTATGCCACTGTCTGCCCACAGTGCTCTTATGATAGGGAGATACTGCAAAAAAACTTGAGTTTCCACCATTCCCTGGGCCGCCATGGGGGACCGGGTGTCAAACGCCATCATCTTGTCTCCGTTGACTTGGTTTGAGTTATCTCCCCACGGAATATGAAGTTTCTCTCGAGCATCTACCAGCACCCTCATACCTTTGTTTAAAAAGAAAGAAAAAGGTGTGCTAGGAGTCATTAGATATCCTCAGTGACTCTATTCCGGTATTCTTTTCTGAAGCTTAACCATTCCAAGCCTACCTCCTCCACAAATGGAGGCCAACGTCGAAACAAACACCCGTAACTTCCCAGAGCTTAAAAAAACTAACACTTGTTCACAGTCACAAAATTAGAGCCTTGAAAAGCAAATACTATTAACACAACTGCTCTTTCTGAAGGATTTTAACATGCTCTCATTTATAAAATAAGTTATTATAAACTTTTAATAGAAGGTAGTCACAAGAGAACCAAAACCAGTGAAGGAAAAAGAAATCACACCGCACAGCCAGATGTCCAGGCTCGGGAAACAACAGCTGCAGCTAAGATTTTCTAAGCCCCTCGGAAAGATATTTATGAAATACCAGGAGTCAAACATTATCACTTGGAGTTCATTTGTTACCCGAGCACCCTGCTTTAACCCAACATTGAGTCTTCTTTGTGTTTTTTTTTTTTTTTTAAGATTTTATTTATTAGAGATAGGGCAGAGGAGCCAAGGGGAAGGGAGAGAGAATCCCGAGCAGACTCCAAGTTGAGTGTAGAGGCTGCCGCACGGCTGGATCTCACAATCCTGAGATCACGCCCTGAGCAGAAAAATCAAGAGTCAGAGCCACCCAGGTGCCCCAACACCAAGTCCTCTAAGAACACGTTCAAAACTCAAAAACTCCCAAACCAAGCATAAGTCACAGGAAGGCCTTAGATTTCTCTAACAGGGAGGAAGGGCAACAGCCAAAAGTATACACAGAGACTTCAACTCACAGAGATTAATTCAAGCCCATTATCTCTAATCACTAAACTGTTACCTTTGGTTCATCTTAATTAACAGTTGCATGACTATTCAGTCATTTGTCTCCATAACTGAAAAATCGTGTTGCTGTCAATTTTAGATCATGCCAACTCAAAAAGTAGGTATCTAGCGACTTACTTCATCTCATAACCAGCGTTCAAAGTAGGTCACACTTAGGACCCAGTGCACAGTAAAGACCAGGTGTTTACGTGGCTCATAATCAGTTAACATGTTGATTCTATTCATTGACATAGTTCCTTAAGTTCAGCTGCATCAGGATACAAAGGTACCTTCAATTAAGGACTGGCAAGGTGGAGCCCACACAGCCTTGAAAGAGACTTAATTAGTTTTGTGCTAAACAGTAAGATGGGATAAATTCGATTGTTTTATACAGCTTAACTGTAGCAGTGCCAGGACTCAGAGGCTGCTGGCTGTGATCTGTGAGCCCCTGGCCTAGCGCTCTTCTCCTCTCATTACTCCACGACCCCCGCCTCCTAGAGAGGGAGAGAAGGGGTGAGGGAGGGGGTAGTTTTCCTCTACTCAATCCTGGGAGGAAAAGAAAGTGATGAGAAGGAGTTGCTGAAGAACTTCCTGAACAACAACAACAACAAAAATATCTCACTTAAAGAAACACTGTTTGCAAATCTGCTGAAATCTGAAACAAGGACAATCGCTACCCAGATGGTGGTTTCCTGATGCACCTTATGTATCTCAAATTTGCCGAGCCGCCTTTTAGAAAGCAGGAAGATGCTTTGATACTAAGAAAAACGAGCCTAACTATCGCTGAAATAAAATAAGAACCATCTTTTCCAAAGCTCTGAGAGCCCAGAAATAAAATCCCTTGTCTATCTTTTATTTAGGAGCGAAGTTTAATCGTGGAAACACTCTCCCACGGAAGCAGAGCCTATGACCCACGCCGACAGTGATTCACGGACTCTACCTGCACAGGCTCCGCATCACTTTCTAGGCCAAAGATTCTTCATACCAACGCACAGGCTACGTTTGAATAGCAGAGCAAGTGGTGGTACCCACCCCCACCCCACCCTTCCGTCCACCGCAATTATTAAAGCAAAAAGAAAAAAAAAAAAAAAAGGAGAGTGGAACGTGTTGCATAGTGATTAGAGGCAAAACATCCTGCCCGACCGTGACAATGGGGCGAAAAACCACCGATGCTGTTTTTTTTCAGACTAACTGTACGGGTCTACTCTTTCCTGATGGCAGCACAGGGCACAGGACTCCCTGAGGTTTCCCCATCTCTGCCCAGAAGGGCCCAGGGGCTGTCACCCTCCGCCCTTGACAAGTCTCGGGCAAAAGTTTCCTTCTGGAGAGGGTTCCAGAACGCCCCGGCTCAGGAGGCGGCCGGAGCAGCAAGGGGCTGGGAGCAGCCCCGACCCCATGTGACTCGGGTCACCCACCCGGGGACGGAGGGAGGGGAGGGGAGAGGGGAGGGGGAGGGGAGAGGGGAGGCGAGGCCGGCGCCGGGCGCGGGGCGCGGGGCGCGTGGGTCTGGGGCTGGCTCTCGGGTCTCCGGGCCTCGCAGGGCGATCGCCCCACTCCCCGAGGCGCCCGGCTCGCCTCACTTCCCTGTCGGAGGGGGGCGAGGCCCGCGGAGGAGGGGGGTGTGGGGAGCCAGCCGTGACCCGCGCCCGGCCGGCGAGGGGGCCAGCGGGGCGGCCCCCGGGCATCCCTGCCCCCCGCGGCCGAGGGCACCCCGCGCCGCGCCCCCTCCGCGCCCGCCGGGGACGCGAGCGGACGAGGGCGGTGCCCAGCCCCGCCGCCCGCCGCCCGCCGCCCGCGCCCGCCGCCCGCGCCCCCCGCCCGGCACCTTTAATCACGTTGCTGTAGATGGTGGGGCGGAACTCCTCGCGCGCGCGCTGGTCGAAGTCCTGCCCGTGGATGATCCGCATCTGCTTCAGGAAGGTGGACTTGCCGCTCTCGCCCGCGCCCAGCAGCAGGATCTTCACCAGCCGCTTCACGTACGTCTTCTCCCGGGACAGGCATTTGTCGATCTCCTTGGACTTGCGCTGCTGCTCGGCCTCGCCGCTCGTCAGCACGCAGCCGGGGAAGCACACGGACAGCACGGACCGCGACGGCAGGAAGTCCGCCATCTTGCCGCCGCCGCCGCCGCCGCCGCCGCCGCCGCCTCGGCGGGCCCCTCCGGCTCCCTCCACCGCCTCCTCCTCCTCGGGCGGCGGGCGGCTCCTGCGACGAGGCTCGAGGGCGGGGAGCGCTGCGGCGGCCCGAGCGCGCCCGGGGAGGGAGGGAACCAGAGAGGTGACTCGCAGGGCGGGCCGGGCGAGCGGAGGAGGGAGGGATGGAGGGCGGGCCCAGGAGGGGCGGTGGCCCCCGCGCGTGCGCGCGCGCCGCCTCCCGGGAGCGCGCACGCACGCACGCACGCTCGCTCGCCGCGGCCCCGCCCCCTCCCGCGCTCGGCTTCCAGGAGTCACGCTGCGGCCGGGGCGTCGGCCGCCGCCGCCCGCTGGGCGCGCGCGGGAGTGGGAGGCGGGGGGCGGGGGCGGGGCTGCTGGGAGCGGTCACGTGGGCTCCGGCCGGCCCCGGCGCGCGCGGGCGGGGCCCGACTTTCTGTTTGCCTTCAGTTAGCTGCACCCGCTGCTGCGCGGGGGGCCGCTTCCCGGAGCACCCGCTCCCAGACCCGGCCCTTTGGGCTCTCCTACCGCGCCCGCCGCCTGCTGTCACCGTCCGCGCGCCCGCTTTCGAGAGCCTGGGCGCGAGCCTGCAAGGCTTTGGTGCCTTTCCCCGGGGTGGCCCCCCCAAGCCTGGGAGATGCCCAGCGATGACATCCAAGCATCATCAATCCTCCCCTCCCACCCACCCCCTCCTCACTCTGCAGCCCCCACCTCTTTTTGGTATTCTCAGATCCTGCAAAAGACTAGACTCTTCTTTCGGGGGCACCTGGGTGGCTCAGCGGTTGAGCATCTGCCTTTGGCTCAGGGCGCGATCCTGGGGTCCTGGGATTGAGTCCCGAATGGGGCTGCTCCCCAAGGCGAGCCTGCTTCTCCCTCTCTCTCTCTCTCTCTCTCTCTCTGTCTCTCATAAATAAATAAATACAATCTTAAAAAATTAAAAAAAAAAAAAGATTCTCCTTTCAGGGAAAGGAACTGGAGTTGACGTTCATCTGAGACGTGGGAGGAGGGTTGTTAATCACGTCTCTTTAATGTGGATTCCCACCCGAATTGCCGCACCGAAGCCAGTGTGCAGGGTGGCTGCGTAGAGTGAGGTCATGGTGAAAATCCCCCTAAACCGGACACCGAGAAGCAGACTCTTCCCTACAAGGAAGCAGATAAGCAAACAAGACTGAGGACCGGAGCAGGCAAATTTTCGGTTTCCTGCCAGATTACAGAGGATGTGAGCAGCCAAGGCAGTTTTGTTTTTTTGGGTTTTGTTTTTTTTTTTTTTTGTTCTGTCCTAACAGCAGATTCAGGCCAGGACACCTGAAAGGGCTGCTAAGGGGACATGCAACAAGTGACAGCTGGGTTGGTAGACTGCGTGCATAGCAAGGACCCCGGAAACCAGCTTCTTTATTCTCAGTATTTCATTGCAAGTGGAAACAGCCGCTTTGGTTTGTCTCTCTTCTGGGCAATGCAAAGGTAATGCTGTTTCATCGGGGCCTCTGTGGCTCCAAAGCTACCCGTGTGTTAGGGAGCTGGGGTAAGAGGTCAGCACTCTGAGCTGCCCATGACAAGTTTAAATAAAAAAATCAGTGCCAGTTTACTGTCAGGTTGGCTTAATGGCTGAGAAGCCTTATGCATGACTCAGTAAATAGGCTGCAGTAAAAGAATGGCTATAGTAGGATTATCTCCTGTTGTCCTGCCCAAGCCCATAGAATGGACAATCTATAATATACAAAGTACGGTAGGTTCAGCTCCAGTATCTATGGGTTGATAGGGTCAGAATCACTGGGTGGTGCCTTCAGGCGGAATGGATGGTAAAACTCTACCCTGGATGGCAAATCTCTCTAGAGTCTCAACTGTGTTCAGGAGGTCCTGTCCTCCGACCTCTGCCCACGACAGGGGAGCGGGTTTGGCCTCCATGCACCGTTTCTAGGTGGACTCCAGATGCTAGTCTCAACTCTTCTGCAAAATCAGGAGACAAGCCTATAAGTTAGGTAGTTAACATATATTTTTTCTTCTTCTTCCCAAAGTGTGTGCAGTGTAATGGAGAACCAAGGGAGCCTAGGAGGCAAGAAGGTATTCCTGCCCAGCCAGTTCATGTTGTGACATGCAGAGCAGCCGAGAAAGCTGTTCAAAGCCCTGCCTGTAACCCTGTGTTAGAACGAGGTTGGCTCAGATCAACTGTAGCTGCTCTAGTCGGTGTTTCTGAAAAATGGACATCTTTGGGCCCGGCACGAGGTTCAGCTATAGCAGTCCAACTGCTTCTGTCATCAAGCCACCTTGAAATTATAAGCATAAAAGTGAGTGAGAGGTTTGGTGGTTCCTCCAAAAGTTAAACATAGAACTGCCATATGAGCCAGCAATTCTACTCCTGGCCATATATCAAAAATAATTGAAAACAGATATTCAAACAAAAAATTATACACCTATGTTCATGGCAGCAGTATTCAGAATAGCCAAAAGATGTAAACATCCCATATATCCATCAATAGATGACTGGGTAAACAAAATGTAGTATAACCATAAAATGGAATTTTCAGCCATTAAAAAGAAATGAAATGCTAATTGAAATTGAAATACTGAAATAATGACCACATGCTACAATATGGATGAACCCTGAAAACATTATGCTAAGTGGAAGAAGCCAGTCACGAAAGGCCGCATGTTGTAAGGTTCCACTTCTAGGAAATGTCCAGAACAGACAAATCCATAGAAAAAGTGAATCAGTAGGGGCTAGAAGGAGGGAAGAATGGGGAGTGACTGCTTATGGGTACAGAGTTTGGTTTCCTTTTGAGGCGATGAAAATGTTTAAGAACTAGACATTGGTGACGGCCGCAGAACATTGTGAATGTACTAAATGCTCTGAACTGTACACTTTAAAATGGTCACATGATGAATTTGATGGTATGTGAATTTTACCACAATATGAATTAGAGAAAATAGTTATTTCCTATAAAAGGCATAATTTAAAAAAATAAAATAAAAAATAAAAGGCATAATTTAACATTGAAGTCCAGTAGTCAATGAATGAACATGTGATCGTGTTTATTTTAAAATAATGTAAGTTATTGCACCAGAAGCAAATCTACTCTGGCAGTTGCTTCTGGTTACATTGTAATGATATTCGTGATATTTTCATTTCCATATAGATTGTTTCACAATTGAAAAGGAAAATCCAAACTTTTTAAAGGAGTACAGAGTCTATTGGTTAGAACAGAATCTGTTAGATGCTGTATTTCCAGTAGAGCCAGGTGTTCATTCTTTGGAAACATCTGTCTTGTTGCTAGCCAGTTAATCCACAGGCAAATGAGGGATTCAAAAGCCCTGAAGAGCTGTGATAAAATGATTGAATGGTTGATTAGTTGCAATGCTCTATTCTTTCTGGAAACCGAAGGTCTGGTGGCAAACAGTCTTACAAGATAAATAGTGAAGATGTGACTGAAAGTGTAGAAACAGGGATCCCTGGGTGGCGCAGCGGTTTGGCGCCTGCCTTTGGCCCAGGGCGCGATCCTGGAGACCCGGGATCGAGTCCCACGTCAGGCTCCCGGTGCATGGAGCCTGCTTCTCCCTCTGCCTGTGTCTCTGCCTCTCTCTCTTTCTCTCTCTGTGACTATCATAAATAAATAAAAATTAAAAATAAAATAAAATAAAAGTGTAGAAACACATTTCCCAATGGCCTTTCTTCTCTGACATGGTCACTTCAGGAGGATACCAGCCCTTTCCAGAAATACTGCCAATCCTTGAAACCAACTACTTGCGACTCTTCTGTTGGAATTGAAAGATAGGCTTCCTATCTTATAGTCACAGCTTTTTTACAATTTAAAAAAAATGGTATTTTTTAGCTCATTGACCAACCTTCATGCCAGATAACTGTGGGCTATTTACAAAAACCACTATTATCCAAAAAGGACAAAAATTTGTCACCCTCAGACATATTCAGAAAAATAAGCCGGAGGCTCTAGGAACAATTCCAAAAGCAGAGTTAAAAAACTTTTTTTGAATGATGGGAAATACAATTTAAGTAAGTGCTTCCCCTGTCCAGGTGACTATTCACCACTCAGGATAAGACACCACCCATTTAGGTATGTTTATTTAAAAATCAGTCACATTACTTGATGGTTAAACCTTGTGTTGATGTTCTAATAAGGATGACAACACATCTGACATTCATGCTGTACAACTCCATTTTGCCTCATCAGTATTGTAAAATAGGTGGATTCTAATCCTTTCTTACACATAAAGCAGGCATGGATTTTTCATATCTTCCTTTTTCACATTAGAAAAGGAAGGGGAGGGATCCCTGGGTGGCGCAGCGGTTTGGCGCCTGCCTTTGGCCCAGGGTACGATCCTGGAGACCCGGGATCGAATCCCACATCGGGCTCCCGGTGCATGGAGCCTGCTTCTCCCTCTGCCTATGTCTCTGCACCTCTCTCTCTCTCTCTGTGACTATCATAAATAAATAAAAATTTAAAAAAAATTTAAGAAAAGGAAGGGGATTCCCTAGCCCTCCCATGACACAAGTCCCTTACGTGTAGAATGTTTTAAATGCCCCAAAGTACTTTGACCTACTTTATCTCATTCTCTGCTCACAATAGCTTGACTAGGAACACCCATTATCACCCTCACTCACCTCCTGTCTCACAGTAGGAGGCTGAGGGGGGAAAAAATGACACATTCTAAACCTCATCCAACCTGGCCAGTTGCAGAGCCAGAACCAGAAGGCCCTCCCTCTTTTGACTCTGAATCCAGTGCTCTTTCTGCCACAATATGCCACAGTTGCAGTTGTGCCCCACATGTCCAGCTGGATGAAGTTCAGGCTTAAGAAACAAGAAACTAGGGATCCCTGGGTGGCGCAGCGGTTTAGCGCCTGCCTTTGGCCCAGGGCGCGATCCTAGAGACCCGGGATCGAATCCCACGTCGGGCTCCTGGTGCATGGAGCCTGCTTCTCCCTCTGCCTGTGTCTCTGCCTCTCTCTCTCTCTGTGACTATCATAAATAAATAAATTTAAAAAAAAAAAAAAAAAAGAAAAAAAGAAACAAGAAACTATCTGTGATGGCACCTGGGTGGCTCAGTGGTTGAGCATCTGCCTTTGGCTCAGGTCGTGACCCCGGGGTCCTGGGATCGAGTCCCGCATTGGGCTCCCTGCAGGGGGCCTGCCTCTCCCTCTGCCTGTGTCTCTGCCT